AAACCCATTTGCATTTAACCACCCTACTGCCTTCAAGTTTGTCAATCTAAATCCAAGTTTGTTTTTTGATTAAGGAATCATACTCTTCTTGCATGGCCAGTTTCCACTACCTAGATTCTCTACAACTCATGGCTTCTTTAACAGTTCTAGGTTCCTCATCAATCTCTTCAGCAACTTGAAGAGCAAAAGCTAGCATATCAGCATGTGAGTACCTACTAGGTAATCAAATTTCCCTTCTTTCTCTACCTTTAGCTAGTTGATAATTTTGTAAATCATTTCCATCCCTATCATTATCACCATTATCACCATTATCATCTAGGCTAGGTTCATCCTCCTGGGTTTGAACATCTACAATAGGATCTGAACCAGGATTGTTCAAGTTTGAAAATTCTCCACATAGATCCAGGTTAAACATCTCTGTCCTATCACTTTCACTCTCACTCAAACCATTTTGATTCAGATCACCCACCTCATCCTTATTAAACCTAACATCTCTACTAATTATGTATCTTTTTCCTATAATATCCCAATACCTGTAACCTTTTATGCCATCAGGATACCCTAAGAAAATACATCTAATGACCCTTGGTTGTAGCTTATCAATTTTCTCATGAGTAAAAATAGTGCAGCTAAAAACCCAAAGATTACTATAATTAGCCGGATGCCCAGACCATTTTTCCATAGGTGTTCTGAAACTAAGAGTTGAGGAAGGGATTCTGTTTATTAAGTAAACAGCTGTGTGAGCAGTCTCTGCCCAAAACCTAGTGGGTAACTTAGAACAGGATAATAGGCTTCTAACCTTTTCAAGAATGGTCCTATTCATCCTCTCTGCTAAACCATTCTGTTGGGGTATGTGTCTTATTGTTCTATGCCTCAAAATTCCACTCTCCCTACATAGACTATCAAACTCTTCATTGATAAATTCTAACCCATTATCTGTTCTAAGTTTCCTGATTTTCTTCCCAGATTGGTTCTCTATCATAATCTTCCAATCTTTAAACTTCCTAAAGGCCTCTCCCTTAGTTTTAAAAAAATAGATCCAAACCCTCCTAGAGTAATCATCTATTATGCTAATGAAGTACCTACAACCTCCCAAAGATGGATGTTTGGTTGGCCCCCACATATCAGAATGGATGTAATCTAAGATGTCCTTAGAACAATTGTTTCCCACACTAAACCTGATTCTGCTCATCTTCCCATAAATATAGTGATCACAGAAATCTAGCTTCTCTATTTTATCCCCTCCTAAAGCATTCTACTTACTTAACTCTATCAATCCTCATTCACTAATGTGTCCCAACTTTTTGTGCCAAATAGAAGTCTTATTAGGTTTCTGTGAGGTCACTGCTGCTGTTCTAGCAACAATGGATCCATTTAGAACATATAAGCCATTCTTTTTCTCTCCTTTCATAACCACTAAAGACCCTTTAGTAACTTTAAGTACTCCACCTTGAGCCTTGTAACTAAACCCATTTGAGTCTAAGCTGCCTAAAGAGATTTCCTTTTCAACTCAGGTATGTACCTAACTTCTGAAAGGACTCTTGAACTGCCATCATGAAGACTTAACCTGACATCCCCAACGCTTAAGACATTACACACTGCATTATTCCCCATTAGAACCTTGCCAGATTCTATTTTCTTAAAATTCATGAGGGAACTCCTATTTGGAGTCATGTGGAATGTGCATCTAGAATCTAAAATCCACTCAGACTCAGATTCTCTATCAGAAGCTACTAGTACATCAGAGCTTTCATATCCATCTGAAGCTATATCTACACTGCCACTAGCCTCTTTCTCTCCTGATCTTTTCTTTCTATCTGGACAGTTTCTTTTAAAGTGCCCTTCCTTATGATAGTGAAATCATTTCCTCACAAACTTGGATTTGGACTTAGATCTACCCCTAAAGTGACCTATCTTTGACATCTTTTTCTCAGATCTACCTTTGATATTAAGCTCTTCTCCATCTAGCTTACCCTCTATGGCTACTACTACTTCATCTAATTTAAGGGTTGGTCTACCATACTTAAGAGTATCAACAAAATTTGAGAAAATTTTAGGAAAATAATTAATAAGAATCACAACTTGATCTCCATCCTCAACTTTAACACTGAGACCTTCTAAATCCTGTACTAATTTCATAAAGTCATTCATATTGTCACCTAATATTTTGTTTTCATCCATTTTAAAACTGAAAAATTTCTATTTTAAAACTAACCTATTAGGAGAAAACTTTGATCGGCATAGAGAGTCTAACTTTTCCCAAATTTTTGCTAGTGTAGTCATCTTCTTAACCTCTCTTAGGACTTTATCTCCTAACCCTAGAATTAGAGTACTGTAAGTCTATCTAATAGATCTTTCTTCTCCTTATCAGACAAAGACTCTGGTAAGCTATCCTCACCCTCTAAGATAGTAGACAATCCATCCTTAACTAAGACAGCCCTCATCTTCATCTTCCATAACCCATAATCATTATCCCCTGTAAATTTCTCAACTTTGAACTTGGACATTTCTAGGTTTCTAACCTTCCTAGTTACTCAGAGTATAAAGGCCCTAATTTTCCAGAGACAAAATTGAAACACTGAGTTACAAAGGAAATTGCTACTGTGAAAACAGTCAAACCCTAGACTATTGCAAATTCGAAAAATTGGATCTCACAACCTAGAATAAGACCTAGGTGCTAGAACGTAAAACATGGCTCTAATACCACTTGTTGTAATATGAACCAAAACCAAACAAATATGCAGTATTCAATCCAAGCAAACACAAACTTACAGCAATAATTAATAACGCAAATAAGAACAGAAAAATAAAGAACACCAGATTTATAGTGGTTTGGTAATCTATTATATTACCTACATCAACTCTTCAGGGCAAAAAAAAAGTATTCACTATGAGATATGAGAAACCTTACAGAGATTAGGCTCACCCCTTTACAAAAGGCACAACCCGAGTAAAAACCCCTCTGATTTACACCCGTACACCTAGATGCTCTCACCACTCATGCATACATACATTCATCAAATAGGTAGAATTAGTGACAGATTTATACAACATAAATAAGGTAAAACAGATAGGACAGCTAAGACCTACCACCACCGTTTGATTCCATCAACGTTCTTCAGATTTCTAGCACAGCAGATTCTAACAGCTTTCTCTATCTGTTAACCAAGAGAGAATGATCGAGGATGAGGCTACGCAAAATCTAATTTGCATTAGGTTTATTGAAGATACTAGAAAGACAAAAATGCCCCTTAAATCTTTAACAAATAACTTTGACCACCCAAGTTATAAGTTGACTTTCACGTGGGTACATTTCAATTGCCACATCACAACAATAAATGTAACTTTTTCCAATATATTTTGAACTTTATTATTATAAATTTGATTGAAATTAGTTAATATATTATTATGAAATTTGAATATAATTATTTTGTTCGATCCAGTATTATCCCAAACATAATACAGTATCCTATCACACACGCATGTATATATGCAATCCAATAGTATCATTTTAGGACTTTCATGTCTACACATGCTTCTAAACCGCCCTTGGTCGGCAATTAAATGAGTTGAGCCGGCTGCGAGGACAGATTTGAGGAGCAAATTAATGGTGCTGCTTATAATGGCATATGGAGATGATAGCGAGAATGGCACTTGGACTGGCATATCGCATGATTTTATCGACATGGTCTTTGATATGACATGGTCTTTCTTGTTTCCTAATTGCACACTTTGTCTTATGCTTCAGAGTGGCAATTTTTATTATGCAGTTCTTCTCACATTGATCGAATCTTGTTTTAGTCGTTGGAGATGTAAGAGGGAGGGGCTTAAGGGTGGGGTAGAATTAGTAACTGATAGGAACGAGAAGGCTGAAACTGCAATCTTATTTGAGAAACTCAGAGGTACAAAATACTTACTCTCCTCTTCAAAGAAAAGCTCTTCATTCTAATTTTTTCATATTGAAACTCTCGTCACAATTGTAGAGCTTTGTGTTCTTGTTGAGAAAGGTAGACTACATGGAAAGTTACCATTTTCTGAGATCCAATAGTGATATTGGAATGAAAGCTGCAAACCCTCGGAGATTTCCCTTAGGTACCTAAACTTCAGGTTATCAGGCATAACTCTAAACCCCTGGTATCAGCAATTAGCAGTTTATATGATCGGGTATAGTATTAACGATATACTAGAAAACAAATCTAATTATGCAAACATGTAGACAAAAATCAGCCTCAGAAGGCAAAAGTTCAGGAGAAGTTCAACGATAAACTAGTGTTTCAAACACAACAGAACACCCAAATAATAGCAAGCTTACAAAAGTATTCTAGAGCAATTAACATACATTTCACAGCCCAGAAAACCAAACATCAGAAACGTCAATATAGCAGTATCCTTAATGTAACACTAATTAAATAGTAGTTCGGCAACATAAACCAATTCAGCGAAGAAAATCCAGAGAACATCGAGATGACAGTAAAGGGAATATGTGACCACGCGCCAAGTTGCCAGCCAAATTATTATCATGCGCGGGGATCAAGCCAGCCTGAAAGCCCAGTGAATAGCATTAAAAAGAGGCACTTCAACCATTCTGGAAGAGAAATGCAGGGCATGAATATAAATTGCAGAAAGTAAGCTGAGTAGTTCAGAAGGCAACATAAAGTAACCTTTATCCAGAAACCATTGAACTATTATTCAGGGCGCCACAACTATACAGAATACTATAGAGAAAGATCCAGGGTTTGGCATATTCTGAAGATCAGGCAAACAAGAAACCCCAGAATTGAAGTAAATAGTCTTGAATTTTCTCTGGAGGGTTTCCTACCGAAGCAACAAGAAACCTGCTCTGCTGAATTTGTAAAAGCATCAGCCGTCATTTTACCATTGAAGGGCCATGGTGAAATAAAAGGGAATCCTATCATCTTGTTCCGATCTACAATAATAAGCTCATGGGTTTGGACTTACATCACCTTTTCTGTAAGAAGATTTCAACCTCCAAGTCTCACTCAGATAAGTCCATATCCTTTCAAGAAACCATATTCTAAACTGTAAAAAACAAGGAATATTTACATAAGTAATAGCAATGAAAACAACAATAACATAGCATTATGTGACTAAATAATGAAAGATCATTCCACGCATTGTGACTTGAGATCATTGTATAATCATTTTTTCTTTTAATAAAAAGCCATAATTATGCGAGGCTTAATCGAGTATCAGAAGCATCTAACACTAGAAAGAGTTAAATAGAAGACGTGACAAGTAATGATTTTACTAAATAAATAAACTGAATTGAATGTTTGAGTCCACTTACCTAAAACCAATACAGAACAAGGCTTGAAAATATATTTATGAAATATACTTAACCCAACTTACCGTGCTCGTCGCATTGGTCGCTTGTATATTTCTGAATGTGGGGACCAGCTATCTAAAATTTCATATGAATATGATTTCTCGTCATCATCCATTTTTCCATGTTCCCAACAGCAATCTAAACAGCACCTAAAACAGGCATTATCATGGCAATTTATATTTTTCAATCTCTTGTCTCTGTCCACTCTTGCAGCTGTTCTCGTATCATTGTCTTTGGCGTATAACAAACTGACTCCACACTTCTTCACCTTCCCCGGAATTTTGCTATTCTTACTTCCATACACAACTAAGAACTCATGGTAGTCCTCGATTTTGAACATGACTGAAGGCGTATCATCGGACATATCATTTTTGCTATTCTTACTTGAATGTTCAACAAAGAACTCAATGTAGCCCTTGCTATTCAAACTCAGTGTAAGCAATTCAAGGGACATGATATTGTAATCATATCCTATGAATACATGATCTGATTCAATAACCTTCTGCCCATCATATTCAAACAAATAGCCAGAGGAAACGATCTTCTCGTTAACAACCAGAGCAAAACCAACTCGCAAAGCTTCAGCCTCTTCATAGTCTCGAAGTGATGCAACAGCGCACAAAGCGAAGCCAACTAAGTTATCATTGAGCCAACCTGCTGGAAACTCTATATAATGTTCGCTGCTTTTAAAGCTAAACCACTCTGGAATTTCGCTTCCAGGGTAACATATACAAGCCTTTGGCCGTTCAATCCTTTCCTCGGAGGGTCTCCTTTCCTGTACCAAGAAAATCAAGTTCTAACCTTCTTAATTTTTACAGCATCTTTTAAGGTTTGCTTTTAATGCTAATTAGGTCATTGCATACATATAGTTGATGCTAATACTTGTTAATGAAATGCAAAATTGTACACATGTTACACGTAGATACATTATGGGTGTGTTTGTTGAAGCGGACTGTACAGAATAAAACAAGTGGGACTACATTAGTTGGTTTTGAGTTGTGCTTGGCGCGATTTTTATTATAGTACCCTTAAACCCAATTTAATACCAATAATTAATATATATATATATCACATGAAAAGAGGGAGATAGACTTACTTCAGATCCAAACCATGCATCTGCATATCTCTGAATATTGAGTAAAGCGTCTGTCAAATGTGGGAGTGCATGTAATTTCAGTTTCAAACAATTGATGAAGCTAATTCTCTCTTTCTCAGCCGACATACTTAGGCATAGAGTTGGTAAACCTGATAATGCTTCAAGTGATGTGCAACCCTGTGCTTGTATATGCAGTAACCTATGTGGAAGCTCCGGTAAGGATTTAAGCCTCTGGCAATTGCTTAAATCAAGCGAAACCAAGTTAGAGAGGTCTTTGGTACTCACTGGTAGGCTCTCAAACTTGTTTCGGCCTAGATATAAATTTTTCAATGAGCGTAATAGGCCAAGATTGCTGGGTAACTCTTCGATACGACAGTCAGTCAGATTTAGCTTCGTCAATTTGTGCAAGTCCGATAACTGAAGCTGTGGGAAACTCGATGGCTCCTGAATCCTCCATCCCGCTAAAGATAAGTTTTCAAGGTTGCTCAAACATGTTATAAAGAACGGTATTTCTCTAACAGCAGTCCTCTCGACTTCAAGTTCCTCCAGTGCTTTTAAATTTCCCAGGCCGTCAGGCAATCTTTCAAGTTTTGAACATCCCGAAAGGGAAAGATATTTAAGAGATTTTAATTCACAAATATTCTCAGGGAGACTCTCAAGTCTTGAACAATTTTTTAGACTCAATTTTACTAGTCTGAGCAGATGCCCTAATGACAGCAATTCTCTTATTGCAGTTCCATCCAAATATAACTCTTTTACTGTACAAGGGATTTGTGGAACTGTTTTGAGATTTGAACAATTTGAGAGAATAACTTTTTGAAGAGATTCCAACTCACAAATGCTCTCTGGGAGACTCTCTAGCCATAAACAACTTTTAAGACTCAATATTTCAAGTCTAGAAGGATGCTTTAATGATGGCAATTCTTTTATTGGAGTTCCATCTAAATGTAACTCTTCTACTGTACAAGGGATACATGGAACAATTTTGAGATTTGAACAATTGGAGAGAATAACTTTTCGAACAGATTCCAACTCAGAAATGCTCTTTGGGAGACTCTCTAGCCTTGAACAACTTTCAAGGCTCAATATTTCTAGCCTAGAAAGATGGTTCAATGGAGGCAATTCTTTTATTGCAGTTCCATCTAAATATAACTTTCTTACTGCACTGGGGATATAAGGAACTGTTTTGAGATTTGAGCAGTTGGAGAGAATAACTAATTGAAGAGATTCCCAATGACTGTCGATTGAAAGAATATCCAAGCTTTTGCATTCGCTTAGATTCAGGACAGCAAGCTTATTGAGAGTATGGACAGATGAGAAGCTGTCAAACAAATTTGTACAACCTCCTAGACACAAGATCCAAAGATTCGGGATAAGTGAGAGATCTGGCATTCTGAGTAGATACTTAGAGTATCTGAGGTCAATAACTTTCAAGTTAACAAGATCCTGTAACAAAAAATTAAATTAGATTAAAAAAACACAATTAACATATAGATATGTACAATTTAAAGCGCAAAATAGTAATATAAAAGTTAACATATACCTCGACACTCGTCCAAAGTTGTTCAACTTTGCTGTAACGCATCTCCACTGCAACAAGCCTCCGTGGATTAAAATTTGGTGGCAATGATTTGGCAGAATATCCATGCCAACAAAGGTACCTTAGCTCAGAGAAATCGAAATTAAGGTCTTCAAAACCATGCACCTTCTGACCATGCTCGGAGCCATATACTTCCAAGAATTTTAGATTTTGCATCTTCTTGAAAGCTTTAGGCTTTAAATAAATGTCTTTTGCTTTAGACACATCCAAGCGCATGCTTCGAATCGCTCTAGTCCCCTAGTAATCAAGAGCAGATTGATGATTAGTTAGTATTAAATGGCTTAATTACATTAACGGTCAAGTGATTAACTCTCATTTAACACTTCATTTTTTAACTTTCTTTTCAAAGTATATAAATATAAAACATCTCTCTCTGTCATATAAATATTATCTTGCAGAATATTGATTCGATTATTGTGTGTGTACATATATAATATTAATCTCTTTGGTTCTCACCGTATTTGTTGTCAATACTGAAACAATATCCTCATGATCCCACAACCGACTACGTTTGCCAGGATCCTCAGGTGATTCTTCCCGAACAATTTCTCTGCCTAATTCTTGAAGTAAATCATGCATTGTGATGATGGAGGATGATGTCATAGTTATGAGAGACCTTTCAATGAGAACGTTCATATCAATAATTGATTCAAAGCCACAGGCATCCAAGATTAGTTGTATTAGACGTGCACGATACCCTTTTAAGAAACATGCAATATCTAAAAATACACGCTGCTCTTCATTACTTAATCCATCATAACTTACTCTTAATACCTTTTGGATATCCTTATGAGGATTTTTTTTCAATCTTCTTAGCGCACTTTCCCATTCGCTTTTTGTCCTCTTGAATAGAAAGGAACCTAACACTTTAAGAGCCATTGGAAGACCATTAGCATATGCCACTACGCTCCATGATAGCTTGATAAAATCATCAGTTGGAGGGGTTTCTCTAAAGGCATATAGGGTAAAAAGATCAAAAGCATTATCGTCTGATAATACTTTCATTTCGTGTATGTGATCCACTCTACAAGTTTTCAGTACGTGTGCATCCCTTGATGTTATGATTATTCGACTTTCTGAATCCAAGTTGTAAAAAACTCCCATTAAACATTCAATTTGTTCTAAATGTGTCACATCATCAAACACAATGAGAACCTTCTTGGTAGTATTCCTTTTTCTTGTATAGGTGAATCTATTGTTGGGATGCATATCCCCTGAAACTGAAGAGCTAAGTTTTTGGCACAAATCAAGTAGTCCATTGCTTTTCTCTGATTCTTCTCTAATATTCTCAATGATGTAAGAAGCTTCAAATTTTCTAGAGATTTTGTTGAATACAGCACGAGCAAGAGTTGTCTTACCAATACTACCGGTGCCCCAAATTCCTAACTTGCAAACACCAGTTGTACATAATAAATTTTCAATATGCTCGATTGTTGAATCTAGTCCAACTAGATTCTTGTCAACAATTACTGGCCTTGTCATTCAACCTTTCCAAAATACATTTGACAATATCCTTTACAAGTAATGACTCGAGCCTAAAAAGTATAAAAAGATAAATAAATAGATAAAACATTAATAAATTTATATAAATGAAAAAAGAAACAAAGATAACAAAATTTTAATTCCAAGAACTTAATTTCAATGAAGACGTTACTAATTAATAAGTAATCGAAGATTAATATACGGCTTTTTCTCCATCTTAGGATATGAAAAATTTATGCCAATAGTGTACTAAAGTACCTCTCATTTCTCTTTATTTTAAATGTTCATTGACTAAAAAAATTAAAAATATAATATTGGCAAAATAAGGAACTGTCAATACAAGAATTGGAATATTTTCTGATTCAAAAAAAAAAAAAAAATCACAATGAAAAAAGTACCTATAAATGACATATACTCAATGCAAAAACACTTACAAAGCTTATGATATATACTCAATGCTCAAATTCAAAGAAATGAAAGTGCAGTCCATGGAAAAATGAATTAATCAGTAATTAAATATCAAATGACATCATATTAGACAGTAGAGGAATATCCTATGTTAGCCTCATCCTAAAAGGAATTTTTTGTTAAATAATGTAATCTAAATTATTAAGGTTCAAATGTACCACGTAACAGTTAACAAATTGCAAGATTGTCACTACAGTACTTGATATTCAAACAAAGATATATTTTGAGACTTGGAAGAATTTATTAATTGCAAAAGAGAACAGTATGAAGCTGCAGCTGGAGTGAGAAAAGGAATAAAAATCATAGTTCAACTCATATTATTTAATATTTTATTGTAGAAATCTATATTAATTTCATAAAAACGTGTAGTGAATTAAAAAACAAAAAACGAATTATATCAATAATCAATATAGTTGGTGTGAGATAAAGAGTTAGTAACGTTAACAGAAGAAGAAATACTTTTATTTGTAACTATTTTTTTATCAGGCCTTGTTGCAAATCCATGCGTTGATCCAAATGAAAATATTAAAAAATAAAAAAAACAAACAAATAAACAAACTTACTATAAAAAAGACGATGATAATAAATTAATAGTTACCCAGTGTTATTTAAATCAAAGCCAGATATGTTGCCTGCTTCATCTAAAGCAGTCCTCCATCTCTGCAACATCTCTGAATCATCCTTAAAACGCTCTTCAAGCTGAGCAAATGTTGTCCCAAAATCGCCAGTTTGTTTTCTAACATCTGATGGATCTACGTGATAGAAGACTGGCAGTACAATCTGACCATACTTCTTATGGCATTCAAGAATCTTTTCAAGTTCTAAGAGACACCATCTAGAAGAATCATACTCTTTAGAGAAAATGATAACTGAGATCTTTGACTCTTCAATTGCCTTCAAAAGAGACGAAGAAATTTGATCTCCTCTCTTAAGTTCATTATCGACGAAAGTTTTAATATCGTTCCCACACAAGGCATCATACAAATGGCTGGTAAAGTTGTTACGAGTATCCTCACCTCGGAAACTAAGGGTAAAGTTGTTACGAGTATCCTCACCTCGGAAACTAAGGAAAACCTCATACTCTAGTTTACAAGTAGTGGAAGAAGAAGAAGAAGAAGAAGAAGCCATTCAGTTTCAGTGAATAGAGGCACCACACATTAACAAAACGTAGAAGGACAAACTAATTATATATTAGAGTAAATGAGTTTATACGGAATGAAATGGAGATAACGAAAAACAAAATAAATAGAAAACACGCAAACATAAACAGTAAAAAGAAAGAAAATAATGTATGATTTACTTGATTCACTTAATTAATAGATTATGTTCAGTATAATTATTATTATTTTAAGACTGTCTCACCTATTTCATCTAGTAAAATGGGGTCTTACATACCAAATATTTCACACAGGCTCTTTCTCACGGATTATTCATATGAATAATTTGAACAAAAGGAGATCTAGAGTTTTTGATAATGTGATAAACAAACAAATTTGGCACGAAAGAACAGTGCCTCCAACCCATTTCCCGCGCTATTCACTACCTGCTCTTTCGCTACTATACAACACACAAGAGCCGTCCGATTAAAGTAAAAATTGAGAATCCACTTGATTGAATCGGATCTACTTTTATCTGTGGTATTATTCTAATGAGGAAGAAGTACTATGCTTATATATATATACTTTAATTACTTTTTCAGTTTATATTTTTGCTTGTAATATATTTTAATTTTTCAATTTTGTATTTACTAATTTACAAAGAAATATATATAAATAAAAGCATACTTTAATTTCTTTTTCAGTTTTATATTTTTGCTTGTAATACATTTTGATTTTGTATTTATTAATTTACAAAGAAATATTTAAAAATCATATTTCAATTTTAAAAAAAAAAAAAATTTTGGGTTTACAAATAAATGTTAAGAGAAATATTTAAACCTCACCAATCCAAAATGTCTTAATCCAAAAGATAAAAAATCGTGGCGTAATTTGTGTAAAACGAAAAAATGGGTGCTCTTAAACATGACTTTTATAATAATTTAAATATTTGACTTAAATTTGTAAGACAAATTATTGATTATGGATTCATTGTAACTGGATAAACTTAAAAACTCAAGTCTTGTGTCATCTTTCGAGGAATGTGATGGAAAAGTGGATGCCTACTAAGAAACTCAGGAAAAGATAATTCTTTAGTTGAGCAATAGTAGAACAAGAAGAAGACGCCATTGACTAAGACATCATATAATCGAGTCTTTGCATCAAGTTCTCTGCATTTTAACTTTATCTTCTTTCCTAGAAGATGCCTTGCTTTTTTCTTTCTTTTTCTTTCAAGAAAATTTAACTATTTTTATGAAAATCCTAACATACCCTTCTCTACATTGCCCTCAACAAATGGAAAATTCTTAGATGTAATCCTATTTTTTGCACTAAAAGAAAATTTTCTAATCAAATTTCTTTCCTTTTTTTTTTTTTTTTTTTTTTTTTTTCTTTCCTCGTGTAATTTCCTCGTGTAAAAGTACTGTCGGCAGAAATGCCGTCAAAAGAGATGGAAATTTTTGATCTCCTCTTATAAGTTCATCCTCGTCAATGAAAGTCTGAATCACTTTTTGACACAAGGCTTCATAAAGATGGCTAATAAAATTATCATGGGGTCCTCAACTCTGAAACTAAGAAAAAAGATGATACAATTTAGTCGTGCAATAGTGGAAGAAGACAAACAAGCCATTAACTTTCCACTAATGACGGTCAGTTCACATTGACAAAAATATAGAGAGCATCATATAATTGAGTATTTGCATCAACCTGTAAGCATTTCAACTTTATCGCATCAAAATATTTATTTATATGTATTAATGTAATTCGAGATGGCACATCACCTGAAAAGAAAATTTTGAGATATCTGGTGACATACATAATCTTATCCTGATATCTGGAAATAAAAATGAAAATGAAAAAATTAAAATTAAAAATTAAGAAGAAATAATTTACTTACCAAGCATCATTAACAAAGTTGTTCTCTTAGCAAAACATAGGCGGGCTAAACTAAAACATCGTATAACAGTGTAATTGACTTCATATATCACTATCTCCAAATCTTTGCATTGATTTTTCTACATTGATTTTTTCTGCCTTTCCTACTTTAATCAGTTTTTTCCGGAAGATTCTTTCGCTGTCTTTTCTGACTTAAATTATAGGCCAGTGAACATTAAGTATGATTGAGACTGATAGTCTGATTCAATAATTCTGATCTTTATCCTCTCCATTTCTTCCACCAAAATTCCTAAAATTTTAAAAACTCTAAATCATAAGAAGACAAAGAAGCCATTAACTTTCCACTAATGACAGTCAATTCACGTTGGCAAAAACATAGAGAGCTAAACCAAGACATCATATAATCGAGTATTTGCATCAACCTCTTAGCATTTCAACTTTATCATAATTCATATTGGGCGGTTTCAGAAAAATTAGAATTTTAAAGTAAGGAATCAAAATTAACAATAGCAAAAATCAATCAAAATAAAAAACTAAATAAAGAATTAATTTATTAAAAGCCATAATAAAGTAGGTTTTGTGTTATTTTTTAAACCTCCGGAGATTTTGATATTCAATGAAAACCCCCCAGGTGGATTCATTAACTCTAAAATTCTAAAATTGATCTTATCTCTTTCATAGACTATAAGCCACTTCTAAGTTCTAATGTTATGTAAAAAACTTATTTCACTTTTAGCGCAATTTTAAGCAGCAATGTAATGCGTTAAGGTAGATGAATAAAGTTAATCTGCAAAAATTAAAGGCATTTATTTCACTTTTCTATTTCATTGTGTTCATCTCTTTTTCCTGGAAGATGCCCTGCATGCCTAAGATTATAAAAAATTCTGAATCATAAGAGTTAGATGGGGTTAACTTAGGGCCTGTTCATTTATAAATTGTTATGTTTCCACTTTCCATTCCTTCGTTTTTGTGTTGGAATCGTGTAATTTAAGTTCGTACACCGTTTCTTTCAAAGTTGAACCGCAAAAGAGAAGAAATGGGTGGGTAACAAAGGGCAATGGGTCCCTGTTTTCTTTATAAATAATTTATATTTTGAATCAAGTATAATACATTTCTTATCTTTTTCATATCTTGTTTTTCTCTTTATTAAAAAAAAAATTTCATTTTAGAGCAAGATTTTTGACACAAAATTGCAAGTGGCAATCAACCTTTGACATATTTGAGATGAGCTCTTCGAGATGAACAAAATAATTAATAATTGAAGCTGGTTTTATCGGTTGTGGAGATAATTGATTTCGTATTTTTTATTCTTTTCTTTGTGTTTTCAGGCAAACACGTAGAGTCCTTTGTTGTTGGTGACGTCTTTAATTTTATGAGTGGAATTAATGAAGTATACTTTTAACCTCTATCCATAAAAGAGTGAAAAATTTTAGTTGGAAGACAAGAATTACACAACTCTCACAAAGTTCTTTTCTCAATTTTGTAATTCGGAACTGGGATCATGTAATAATAGGATTAGGGTTAGATCTCTTACCATGAAACTAATTGATTTAAGCAATCAAATCTCTCTTACCAAGTTAAAAGAAGATGTTTAGTTTGCGTTTACATGTTAAAGAAAGCCTTCCAAATATAAATCTATAAACTAAGACATCATATAATTGAGTCTTTCATCAATTTCTAAGCATTTCTACTTTTTATCTTTCTTATTTTTTGCATCCCCACTGACAAGCAACTATTAAACCAATCACATTTGGTGTGATTATGTTACATGGATTCATTAATTCACACACAATAAATTCCTCATCAAGGGTTCACATTTACAATTTTGAGAAATTCATAATATACCCTTTTACGTTGCCCACTATTTGCTCTGTTACCAAATTGAGATGGGTCTGAAACATTTTCTTACTGAAACATGCAACCAGAATTTTTGAAACTGGATTTTCACAACAAGTGAATTAACTAAGTGGGTTTCGGAAATTGGATCCAATTAAGTGAAATTTGGGATTCAAAATTAACCAAAAAAAAAAAAAAAGAATCAATCAATAATGAAGCTAATTATAGCAAAACGGATTTTACATAACAAAGTCTTCACTCTGGCTCTTTCTTAGTAATATGATAATTAGAAGTCGAGAACATCGCATTCAATATAGACAAGTAATCGGAGGATCATTTGATTTTATCTATTTTATCCTCCTTGTTATCGTTACATGTTGTCACTTTTTGACTTAACTCAGAAATGCAATCTCAATGAGCAATTAATGGGCTCTTTCTCTACATTCTACTTTCATCATTTTCCCCAGAAGATGCTCGCCTTTTTCTTATTTTTCTTGACTTATTGGGCCGTGAACATTGTGTGTGATTTTGACACTAATTCAATATAAAACCTCATGAAATTTCATTCACACCTACTTTTACTAATTTTCTTGAAATTGTCTCAATGAATTGATTTTCCTTGAAGTAAAGTGATGGAAAAGTGTATGCCTCTTTCTACTTTTGCCATAAAAGTCTTTCTTTATACTTACCACCTATTATATTAATTGATTCAATTTTTTTTAATTGGCATGTCTCTTGCCTTATGTTCCAATACCCATAATTTGTGCCTCATTCATCACTAAAAACCCATATCAGTCAGACCCTAAATAAAACCTACTCTAATAAACTCTACTTAGAACATAATTGAACAGAACACCATATAATGGCAGGTTACAACAATATTAAAGAGCAATCAACATCATTTAACTACTCGAAAAACCAAACATCACCAACATTAAACATTAACATAGCAGTAGCCTTCATGCAACATATATAATTAAATTGTATTCCGGAAAGATAATCCAATTACCGGGAAGAAAATCTAAGAGAAATTACAAAATGGCAGCTAACATCCATTGGATTATTATGCAATTAAATAAAACATGCAAAGCCAACTACTTTGGTTTCGAAATATGGGTAGAATTTTCAGTGATATTAGGCATTAAAATTAAGAGTCTTACTGCTTGAAATCAAGATTAACAACATTCAAACTTGAAAGAAAATTAAATCAAGAATAGTGAAATGGGTTTTTATATACCAAGTCTTTTGTCTGGCTCTTTCTCACTAATCAAGAATAGTAAGAGACACAGGAGAGCTCTGTTA